TGCCTGAGCTTGCCTCGGGAGCCTCCTCCTTCCCTGCATGCCCTGCCTGCGCAAACTGCCGCGCCACTCCATTCTGACGCGCCACGCCCCTGGTCGCTCGCGCTCCCTAGGGGTTGCTCTTGTACTCAGGAGGGTCACGCCTCCGTCACCGCTGACTCCATCCCCGCTGAGTCAGAGCTGCCCGCTCCTTAGCAGCTGACTCCTGCCTGCTCTGAGGGGGAGGGGGGGCCTGGGGTGCCTTCTCCCTCCCTGCGCTTTTGACTGCACGATACTGCCGCTGTGGGAAAGGGTCCCCCGGTGCGGTTGTCCACTCCGGAGCCTTTCGCCTCAGTGGCTTCACTCAAATGGTAGTTCTGAGGTACTTTAAACCATCCGCATCACAACCCTGGCTACTTCTGAAGTAGGTGCAATAATACAGTCCTGTGGCATTGTGGGCACTTGCTAGACCTTTTTATCATTGTGTCCAAAAGCAATCAAAATGTCTTGCTGAAAGCACTAACGGGTATACTACAGCTCCCACTTTTGCTGGCAGCGATCTGTAAATTTTTTAACTGAAAACAGAACTTTACTTCCTCAAAAGCTTAAAAACCCGTCAAAACTAAGATCATTTTAATTTATTATATGCATTTCAAATGAAGCTGAGACCAAGACTCTGTGTGCTATGCATGGTCCAAAACAAACAACAAACTGGCCACTGCCATCTTTAAAATGTGAGTTTAAATTTTAGCAGGAGCATGGAAAAACACATGGTGGGGGTGAACATACAGATGGAGCAAAAGGAAGCAAAATAATGCAATAGAAAATAGCATACTAAATAGTTCAACAGCTTTTCTACCAGTGTTTTGTACAAGCCTAAGAGCACAGTACAGATTTTATGAGGACTGATCACTTTGCTGTTGTTACTGGAATTATAAGAACCTCTTTATTCTCTCTTAAGCTCTGCCTTGAAGTTGCATGATGCCTTTCCCACAGTAGCTCCTGAGGCACGTGTTGTATTTGGGAGTTCAGCTTTATGGGCTGACTTTTATGTTCTATGTCTTTTTGGCTTGACGAAAGACATGCTGAATATTGTTAATCCTCAAAAACTGGAAATATGCTTTGGGGTCAATGAACAGCTGGATGAGTTCCAGCAAAAGTTCTACTCTTCTGCGTTACTGTGCTAGCTGATGCTCTGTTAATTTGCTACCCAGACACAACATGGGAGCAGATGAGGCAAATGGCAACATTTCACAGGAAAAATCACAGATCAACTTCTTGTTTGCTTTCACTTGTTCCCAAGAAAGTAGTTCATAATGTTATGTATACAATATCAGATCCCTGAATTTCCTCAAATAAATTTTATTGCATTCTCACACCTTTTCCTCCACTGTTATTTTCCTACAACATTACTTTCAAAGCCTCCTTCTAAAATGAATAAAACTACACAAAAGGACCTCTGCAAGCAAGCTTCTTAATTACTTCTTACAGTATTCTGAAGACTGAGGGAGGTATTTCTGCTGAAATATTTGTTAAAAAAAATTAACTGCCTCAGTTCTCCTCACTGAAATTTTTATTGAAAATATTTGATAGTATGCTTGTACGTCTGTACTTGTGGTATAGAGTAGATTCATTCCCTGTCTGTGCTGCAGCAGGCAGACGTTCTCCCAAGTCTTAAGTATTTCTAGGGTTGGACAAGCCTGCTGTGTTCCATAGCAACAGCTGCTATAACAGTGACTTAAGGCCACAGACACAACTTGAAGCAGCCTCTTCGCCCAGCCCCAGCTGTGTTATATGTATCTAGTTTATCTCCAGACTGGTTGAGAATGTAACCAAAATATCATCCAATAGCATGAAAAAAACCTATCGTGTATGTCAGAGGACGATTGCATTTTGTAAATTGGTTTCATGAATGTTATTTTGAGCCCTTTTAATCATTGTACTATTTTTACTACATATTCTGTCCTTTTGTTTTTGTTTTTGTTAATGAAGCCCCACATATCCACACAATGTGTCTGAGGAGATCTAGAAGTAACAAAAAGTGTCTTTACGCTTTTCCTTCCGCATCACCATCACATTATATTAGTTATCCTTCCCTCCATGTATCAGTAATAAGGCGAAGTTAAAAAGCGATTAAAGATACATTTACGGAGATGGTGTCAACATTTTGGTTGCCAGTTGCACAGAATTTTCTTTTCAGCCCTGCTGCTTAGAGTGAGGTCTGTCCCAGGTCATTTATTTTTTCTTTAATTTAGCTTCAATTTGGAAGAACTTGTGTTTGTACACATAAATTCATATGCATGTTTAAAAATAGGTTGATTAAGTCATGCACTCTTTTCCAGCCTTGGAATTAATGCCTTCTTGCATTAACTGGCCAAGCTGGGCTGGCAGAGACAGAGGGTATACTTTCCTATATTAGATTATAACAAGGACCCTTAGCATTTATCCCTTTCAGAGCTTTTAGTTGTTTAATGAGGGGCAACGGTGGCTGTATAGCAGTTCCACTGAGGAAGATCAGTTCCTTGCTATATGAAGGCAGTAGATTAAAGCCACTGTCCAGGCCATGGAGTCCCTTTGAGAACATGGATGTTGAGAAATTATTGGTGTCCAAGGAGAAGCAAATGGGGGAAACATGACAACTTCAGAATCTTTCACTATAAAATTTGTGATTCTTTGACAAACATAATAATTCTGTGATCATAGTCTACTGTTTTGTCTTCTCTTTAACAGGATCATCTTTATTATAATGTCTTTAATATTTAATATTATAATAAATTTAATATTTAATATTTTTGGCTTTGTTTAGAATTTATCATACTGTTTTCTCAGTAAAGTAGGTTCTGATATTCATTTTGTTCTTCTGGTACAGATTAAAGAGCATCTTGCCAAGGGACAGAGGATGTTGGCTGGTGATGGCATGTCCCAAGTAACCAAGACACTATTGGATTTAACTCAGAGGAAGAATTTTTATGCAGGGGACCTTCTGATATCTGTGGAAATTCTCAGAAATGTTACAGACACATTTAAAAGAGCAAGTTATATCCCTGCATCTGATGGGGTGCAGGTAAGAGAAACATTGTCAGGGTAATGTTTCAGTTGATGGATTTTATGCCAGTATACTGCATGTCGCCTATTTTACCCACTGAGGAAACTAAATCTTCCAAATAATAGACATAAACTTGGTTCACATAAAACTAAAATACAAGTGTAAAATAAGAAAAGACTCCACTACACTTAATGAGACGAACACCCAAAACAATGTAGCAAGTGAAAAATTTAAAATACTTTCTTTGTAACATTTATTTAAATATCTTTCTCTTTCAAGGTTTGATTTGATTGATGGGGATATGTTCGTGTTTTTTTTGCACTAAGCAATTCACTGGTGTTGTTTGTTCTAGTTCATTTCAGTTCAAAATATATCCACAGTGTTTAATTATGTAATTCTGGCATTGCTTCTTCAGTTCAAATAAATAAAGCTCATTAAAAGTGCACAGAAGTGACGGATAGTACATTTAATATTAATTTTCTATTTCACATGTTAGATTAACTCTTTTTGTGCAAGAAGCCAATTAAAATACTGTCAGATGTAAAACTACTGTAAGTATTTCTACATAATGGTCTGCACAACTGATTGTGTAACGTTCATTAAAATAAATATTTGACAGGGCTTCTAGATCAGGATATTGGTTTCATCTATATCTGAGAATTTCAGACACTTTTCAAAGACTGTAGATGTACTGAAAATGAATAATAAGAAGGTAGATATATATTATTTATGAAAAAGAGAGTTGCATGATCATTCATAAATTACTAATGAAGTTATTAATGCAGGTCATGTATACACATTTGTGTAAAGGTAAGTATAAATTATAAATATATTTTGGAATATATGTATGCAGATAAATGGAGATGTTTGTGAAAAGATCATTTTTCCAGAGTTAAGTTTTCAAGAGCTTGCTATTACATTTTCACATTTCTTGTTTTTCTATGCACAAAGAAAAATGAAATTCCATAATTAAACCAACATATCTTGTTTTGACCTGTAGCCAGCTGCAAGTCATATTCTTAGAAGAGTGCTTTTCAAAAAATATTTTGGCTGGACAATCCTTTTTTTTTTTTTAATTAAATAAGAGACAATATCTTTTCCTACTTTCATTAAGTTCTACTACTAAACAGGGTGTTGTTTACTGAAAGTTTTTCATGTATTCAACAATCTGATAGCTCAATGTGACTTCTTTATGGTTCACAGGCACTACAGAACACTTTGGTAGAACCAGCCTTGAGAAACAGATTGGCACAAGTGATTTTGTTCCTGGTCTTAGCAGATCAGGTCATTTGCAGTTTACATACACTAGAGAGAATTTGATTCTTTTCCCACTAGTGACAGTGCCAAAAGTTGTGTTCACATCAGCAATGTAGATCTGTTTCCAAAATTTGTAATGGTATTCTGGTAGAACTTGGCAAAATGGTTAGTACTATGTTAATAATTTTTGAGTAATCATTTTGAAGTGAAGAAATGAGAAAAGGCAAAAAAAAGTAAGCTATATTTTGAAGGAAATAAGGAAGGATTTCTCAAACCAAAGAAATAACTGTATTTCAGGATTTATATGCCTAAATCCAGTTGGGATTTAAGGACTCTTAAATCCCAACTGAAAAAGGGGCACTGAAATAAAAAAAAAAAAAAAAGTAAAATAAAAAGTTTAACAGATATCAAGCTAAGGTAAAATCCAAAAGCCAAGGTACAGTGTTCAGGAAAGTAAGTGAAATCAGAATTAAGCACACGTTTTGCATAGGGGATATATTAAGCAATGTTCCTGTTACTGACTTCTGATGGTATAAAATTAAATCCTGGCTCAGTAACATCAGTTTAAATTTTACTCTTAATTTCTGAGAAACCAGGATTTTCCCATATGTAAACATATGTCATATGCTACTGTACTCTGGAGGATTGTATTTAATTTTTATTTTCACTGTTTATTTTCACATATTTTCATACTTTTTAGTCCATGATCAAAACAAGTCGCAAAAAGGTGAAAATGAAATTAATTTGCATAAAAATACCAAGATACTTTTTTCTGAGGGAGGCTTTCTGCGGTGTTCTAATTCTGTCCTATTTTTTGCACTAGATAAAGAGTAGAATTTCTTAGGTGTTGGGTTATTGTTTTAAAGAAAGTGTCAGAAATGCATGAATGAGGTTTTAAATCCCTGAAAGTAATCATTTATCATTTCTTATGATGACAGAAAAGAAGATTATGAATTATGAGTGATAACATTTCTCAAGGACCATACAAAAACAACACTTCCACTTCCATTAGAACTGAGAAAGGAAATGTGTATATATCTGTGTATATTTGTTTCTTACACATTCCATCCATCTGGATAGTCCCTTTACTGTCTATAATCTCTGGTTTATATTCAGTATTGATATAAATGAATAGTGCAAAAGACATGATTCAGACACTCCATAACAAAAAGAATGGACAGAAAAGTGAGATCAAATTTTAAAATTTTGGGCTAGTTAGTGAAAATGAAGATGCTACAGCCTGATGTGCTGCATGGAAAATACTGCTTGTTTAGACAGACAGATACCAAGAGCAAAACAAAGCTTCTGAAGTCTAGTGCCAAGTTATTATATGACTGTTTTTCTTTATGCATATTTTAACCTTTTTTATGATAATAGTTACGTATACATGCCATATACAGTGTCAGGAAGAAAAATAACCATGTATAAGGCAGTTAAACAGTATGGAAGGTATCCTGAATCAGTGACTGAAAACAGCAGTACAGTAGCAGAAACAGCAGAAGACAAGAGTCATGAAATTATTCTGCAAACAAGGTCTTTCTCTTAATATGGGAACTGCTTTAAAATACACTGTGTAGGTACACTGAGGCTATTAGATGGCCACTGAGCTATTACTTATGTAAAGATACTACCTGGAAGATAATTAATTTTTTAAATAAGCATAATGTAAGCACCATTTTGGACCATTTTCCAGAACTGGTCTAAGAGTGCTTGAGCACTTTGCCATCTATTCCTGAGAGGTAGTTCCTTTCCTGCCACCCTGTCCTTAGAAGGTAGTTCAATCTCCTGATCCAGTGACCGACAGGAAACAAGGTTTTTCTCCATAGAAGTTAGAGCAGTGTAATCCCATTTATATTAGCCACAGGGACCACTGCTGTCAGTCAGGGATTAACAGGATTGCCCAATGCTTTCTTCCCTCCCGCCCCCCACTCCCTATGCTGAAGTTCAAAAATGTAGGTGACTTAAGGCTACCCATTAATTCCTCCCAGGGAGGAATTCTTCTCTAGCTGAATAAAGGATTTATGACAGCTTTATGCCTGCAGAGAGGGTCAAAGAATTTGCACTGGAATAGACAACTGCAGCCATTGTATTATAGAAGAAAAAGACTGAAAGGAAGGAAATTAAACTAGGAAAACATAATTGTCCATTCTGACTATAAATGACATTATCCTCAGAAAAGCCTGGGTGAAAATAAAGGACTTCAAAATTTGGCTCTGGTTGTCACAATATTTTCTGTAGTGGGCAGTTCAGTAATCTGTAAGCCCTGCCATGAAAGGAAGGAGCTTGAATCTACAAGGAGGTCTAGTGTTTACTGCAGTAATACCATCAGACCACATCCCTAATGCCTCTAAAATTTATCCTTCATACCTGTCAATCATTTTACTAAAGGGCAATGTTGTTTCCTGCAGCATTAATGCAATGAACAAGAGAATAGTCAAAGTGGGTGAAAGACTTTTTAACCTCTCTTGCCCTGTCACATTTTTGGAATGCGTCTCATATCTATTCATTACTGAAGCAGCAAAGCCATTTAACCATCTCTGTGTTTAATTCACAAAGCACTGCTATTGCTGACTGAAAAATCTTCATGCATCTCAGCCTCCACTGCTACCACAAATACGACATCAACCAGGGATAGAAATCGAGAAAAAAAAGATCTCTAGAAGCAAGATATTCCTGTCACTAGGTTCATATACATCATTTATGGTTTATTGGCAAGTACAGATTATATACTACATCAGTTACTGCTCATCTTTTGTTTATGCTTGAGTCTAGGATTATTTATAAGCTTTTTCACATATATTTCTGTTAATTATTGGTCATTTTAGTGCTTTCATGTGACTGAAATAAACATAAAATTTCATGAACACATATCATTATTAGCAAAACCATGTAATGTATCATCTGCAAGAAACATTTATAACTCCTCAGTGTTTTTCAGGCAACCTAGGCTACTCTCAGATCTGATTACACGGACATGGATACTTTTGCAATTAAGGCTTAGACTGTTTCTGCAGGGGAATCAGTGGCTGCAATGTAGTGCAAAACTAGCTTTGAACCAGCTCCTTAGTGTGATAAATTATCCCACACAGAGCTCCATGCTGCTGCAGCTAGACTGCTGCTGGCACCCTAACAAGTTAAAGCTAGCTAAAATTTCGGTCCACTGCATCTCCACAGTATTACACTGGAAGAGCACAGAACTATCATGCCTTAAAAAGCATTTACCTCAGGCAAAATCCCCCTAAGACCAGCTCTACCAGTAGAGCTCTTTGCCAAAATCATAATGTCCTAGAGTAATGTGGTTATAGTGCATGGAACTGCTTTGGCCAGTGTAGTTTATTTTACCTGGGGGACCAATAAAGCTGTACATTTTTCCTAGCTGAAGTTGCATTCACACAATTATGATTTCCCGACTTGGTTAAACTGTCAAATCCTTTGTAAAGAATACTAAACACAGTTCTTTTCAGTATGTTTTATTTAGCTGCTGAATACCTGAAAGAGATTAAATACATTCTTGATATACAAGCAATACATAGCTACATTTTCCTCTTCTTATCTTCAGCCTGGCTGGAAATTTCCCTTCTGTATCACTGAGGATTGGATCAAACCATGAGAACATTTGTCTTTTATGTCCTGTCTTTAATCCTCATCGTCCTGTCCCAAAGCATACTTGTCATTTTCACAGGAGCTTGCTCATCCATTTCCTTTCTTTTCATTAATTTTTGTGTTACTGAAGCTTATGGATATTTTGCTGCTGACTTCAGTGAGAGAAGAATTATGCCCTCATTAATGTACGGGATTATTTTGCCCAAGTTCACCTAAGTGTCAGTCAGCTCTATATTAAATTTGCCGAGTCAAAACATTTTTTATCCATGTAAATCTTATGGTTGACATAATTTGCTTCCTAATAATGAGGCAAAGATGGATCCTCTTGCTTGTCAAGTAATAAGTGTTAGGACTAGATTACACTGGTAAAAATGTTTTTATGTAAAAATAGTTCTCATGTAAAAATAGTTTTCGCAAGTTTTTTCAATTTTGTATCCTATATTATTTTATTTCTATGACTGTGAGGCCTAAAATGTCTGTGATATCTCAAATTTTGAAATTAATGTCTTTTCAACCACAACAACAGTGTCCAAAGTACACTACAGTTGGAAGTTAGTTCTGCTCTCATTTAATTCACTGTGCAGTTGATTGCTTTGTATTTTCATTAAATAGTTGCGTTAAAGTTACTTCTTACTTAAACCTTATTTAAGCCTATTTAGCTCCCCAAAATGGCTAAAAAGTAAGTGGAGGTGAGGGAATGGCCATTAATGCAAGTTCCAGTAGGGTCCTATGGTTGTTATTCCACTTAAAGGCTTTTCAGAGTTTGCAAGGATCTTAATTGCACTCTTCAGCTAAGGTCAGTGGGAAACTACATGTATCTTTTATGAAGGAACAGACAAATTATAATTGGCAGGCTGTAGAAAAATTTGGCATTCTGCACAAAAAGTGATACAGAGCTGAGAAGAACAGTCTGCACAAATTTTTAGCTTTCAAAGATGAAGAAGTTGGGAATACAAATTGGTAGAGAGAGCAGACAGGATTAGAAAGGAAAGTTCTCCACAAAAACTTGGAAGAAAGTGATTTTTAAAATGCATGACTTAAACACTAAATGCCCAGTCTTTTATTTGGTTTTTTCCTTATAGTTAAAAGAATAGAAGAATCAGACAAAAAAATTAACAGTTTAAGGACAAAGACACAGAAATTAATGGTTCCTTTTCTGCTGGAATTACTAAAAGGACAAAGGCAAATGTAGTTTTTTAAAAGTAGGATGCACCTGATTTCACACAGCATTTATCAATGAAATACCATTGTATACCCTATCTATGGGCATTAAGGATCATGTTTTGAATAGAAACCAGTGACCCTGAGCCTAGCATTTTCTTAGTGTACTATATTTGCAAAATATACAGTTGTCTAGTTTCTGGAATTAGAGCAATATGAAAATAGAACACCATCACATTTAGAAGTTTAGCTAGTGTAAAACAGTTCTTATTTTATACAAAGCAGTCGTATGGAACCTGATTATATGACCAGAAATGAACAATTAATCACAAAATATATGTGCGCTTTTACCCGTCTAATATATTGTTTTGTTATCTCATCTCTTCCACTGACAGAAAATAGGCTGCAGAGCTGCATCTGTAATAGAGAAAGGGAAACTTTCTTAATGTCAATTTAAGGATATGACTGTTTATGTTACTGAAAGTCATTTACTTTGTCTTTTTTTTAATCAATTTTTCAGAACTTCTTTCAAATCATTAGTAACCTCTTAGATGAAGAAAACAAAGAGAAATGGGAAGATGCACAACAGGTAAGATTTGCATTTTGTAACTCATCAATTTAAAAAATTGGAAAGTGTGTGTATTATGACATTCACTGTATCAGAAGCCACACGTTTCAGTAAGTCAAGATAAAGTGGAATGTATGGTTTCAAAAATCAGGTTAAGCATACACTCTGCTGTAGGTGAAAGGAAATCCTCAGTGAGATGATATTTTGGAAATCATAGAATCATAGCATGGTTTGGGTTGGAAGGGACCTTATAGATCATCTAGTTCCACCCGTCCTGCCATAGGTAGGGAATACAAAGGAAATACTGGTATAACAGTAGGATAATATAATTTGTATAACATTATAATAAGCAGTAATAATCGATCCTTTTCAAAAAGGAATAATTCCAGGACCCATTGGCTAATTCCTTAGAATAAAATTATATTAAGAATATGAGGTATCTCTCTTGATGAATAGGTTTCCATTGCATTCTGTGGGATTGTTTGTTGTCTTTCCTTATAATGTCATAATGAAATATGTATGAAAGCTGAAAAATGCTACTAAAGTCTAGCTGCAATGATGCTTTTATTAAACAGAACACAGCAGAACTCACCTAAAGAATGCATATAACGCCACCAAAGAACTTGTAGAAGTTTAAACTGAAGAACTTTTTTAAAAGGTTGTATTTAGGAGAACAGTTGTGATCCTGAAGACTGACAAATTTTGGGACTAGGTTGAATATTATCGTAGCACTTTATAAAACAATAAAGTCTAACAAAAATCATTTATTTATAGCAAAATAGTTTAAAATTCAAAATTAAAACCATTTTTTGCTTGGATGTATTTCCTACATGCTTATACCAAGGACATTATAGAACAATGTTAATATTTATGTTCATGAACATGACCATAGAACTTTCAGATTTATTCAGATATAAATAACAGTGACAATGGGAATGAACAGATAATTATGTACAGAGAAAAAATTATGGAACTAGTCAAAGGTAGGGAAACATTTCTGTATGAAGGATGATTAAACAAAGCAGATATTTCAATCTGGAAAAGAGTCAACTGCGCTTATGTGCAACAGAAGCTTTTAAAATCAGGAGTGGATCGGAGAATGTGGTGCAGTAATGATTAATCTCATACTTCTTGTAAAAGAACTAAAGGACACAGAATCATAGAATCATAGATCTATCATTCTACAATCCCGTTTCTGCTTAAGGAAGGCCTTTGGAAAAAACAAAAAAAGTGCTAAAGGCTGGGCAAGAATTCCAAAAGAATTATCATTACGTGTATGCCACTTCATACTCTTCCTTGGACATTTGCTATTTGCCATGGTCAAAGGCAAAAAAACAGCTTACTTAGATCTTTGGTCTGCTCTCGTATGGTCACTGCTGCTATGTTATATAGATACTTGAAATTTGTTAACTTTTAATGTGGTTCTCAGTATATTACTAGGTGTTTGAAGGTCTTTGAAACTATTTAAGTTCATCTTTGTAATTTGACTAAGGAAGGGAAGATCAGGACTTTTCACTGCCTAATCAAACCTTGCAGTAGACATAGAATGCTGCAGCTGACCCTTTGTAATTTAGCCAGCAATCATATTTTTCCTTTGTTGTTTTTTTGTTCCTCTGTGTAAGAGCCAGCTACAAAAATAGGAAGTGTGTAATTTTCTTCAGTGGTGTTGGATGGAAGCAACAAAATCACATGCCATGTGGGCAGTTTCCATAAAGAGCACCAAGATTAAGGAACCAAGATTAAGCAACTATTTTAGCCCCACTAATGAACAGACAGGATACCACTCTTAACTTTATCAGGCTTGTCTTCTTCTACCTCCACTCTGCCTGCTTGCCCATGCCACGTCCACCATCTATCCCACAAAGATCTGGGGATGACAGCACCTGAGAGGAAATGGTGAGAACGTGGAGGTAAAAGAGAGAACAATAAATTTCTAGTTGTCTCCTCTCATTGCTGCTGGTAGAAGAATCAGTGTTGAAAAAGGGAGAGGAGACAAGTTCTTTCTACTTTTCTGTAGCTCCTTCTCTCTGTCTGGTAATTCATTGTCTCACAGATCTGAGTACAGCACTGGTAGGCAGGCAGGAACCCAAGCAAGCACCTACATGAGCTGAACACAGGAGTAGCAGAGCCGTAGCTGCCCGGTGACAAAGCTAGGGAATTCACTAAATCTTAGACTCCTGAGCTATGGCACCCAAAGAAACTGTACCACTGGTCTTGCTACTATTCTTGGGCAGTTACATAAACCATCTCAAAGAAACTATTGAAACAAGGAACTGTTCATACCAGCTAGGAGGGGTGATCTGGACTCCTAAGTACTCATAAGATTCTTTTTTTCCTTCAGTATTAAAAAAAAAAAAAAGGTTTCATATACAAAATGTAATTTTCTATCACAATTTGGATAAAACAGTTAAATGTTATGGTTAAATAGAACTGGATTTTAAAACACAAACAATACTATTTGAAATTACTACATCCTGTGCTAAGATTTTTTTAGTTTTTATGTCAAAATCAAGGTAGGAAATTAACTTGAAAAGAATGTACACAAGTCATTACGTGCTGTAAATGCAATCTAGTGCAAACACTTGTGACTCATTAAAAAAGAGTAAAGGTGATTCAGTTTCTGGTTCAGCCACGTAGCTGACTTTCTTTTGGTAACTGAACATTGCAAACCAAGGGACAGTCTAACCAACTGGTTTTGCCAGCTTGCATGGTTTTCTTGAACTCCACAGCTGCTGTTAGCATAGATCTCTTAACCTGTTTTCTGGATTCTTTGCTGGAAAGGAAGTCTTACTCACTGTCAGCAAATTGCTGGCTTTCTATCAAGTATACAGCTGCAATGTCTCAGCACATCCTTTTTCCTAAATTAAATGCCAGAAGTTGATACCATTAATTACAGGTTATATAGCATTCAGATAAGATGCACTCACTTTAGTACTTGCCTTTTGTTAAGAGCTGATGTAAAGCGCTGCGCACAGGAAACCACTTCAAGTCCACAATGCGTTAAGTTTAAACTGGTGTCTCAAAACACAGGAGCTGTTCTGCATGTTCATCATCACCATCTGCTGGCATCCTGTTGATTAATCAGTACTTCTGATATCTGAAAACGAAGAGTACCTCTGTAACATTGACTATTCCACAGTTGCTGCTGAAGTTATTACTATAAAATTTTATGTGCAAGGACTAGGATGAAAAAATCTTTTCACTGAAATTTCTCCTTAGTACATGATTTGTGAGTGTCTGTTCTGTGAATGAGATGGATGCAAAACTCACACTTAGTATCTCAGTATCTCATAATTAGGAAAATGGAAGTTAAGTCTCCTTCACCTGAAGCAGCATTTGCAACCTGTTAGGATCACAAATGTCATACAAATTGTTCATAAGAATGGTATTGCTGCCCTAACTTTTATAAAAAGATCCATGTAGAAAACAAAGGACATATTGTGAAATTCTCTATCCTGAACCAAGCAACTATGGATCTAGTCAGATAAAGTAAGACGAGGATGGAATGCAGCATGCTGGAATTTATGGTCTCCATAGGCATCTTTTAGATTTTGTAGTCTTAGTAGTGGAAAGAATGGGTTGAATGTTGCTCATAAAGTGAAATTTGACAGCTGGACATTTGGACATGCAGAAAAAAGCACCATGAACAGGTTATCCATTCTTTTTCTATTACAAAATAAAATGTTACTGAAAATTATCCTGTTCATAACAAGCCACAACATCCAAAAATTATATTTATGTATGTGATATGAGCAGAATTTTTATTCCTGTTAATAAATGTTGTTACCTTTAATGCAGTTTTGATGATGCATCGTTGTTGTTGAGTATAATAATTTTTAATGCTTTTGTGATCCTTGTAGCTTACAGCTTTGCAAATAAATTATATACCTTGGAAATGTACTAGTCCTTATCATTTTGAAAGTCATATTAGGAGGCTGCATTAGCAATGCAAAGGCTACTGCAATTTATTTTAGTTTACTGTGTCCAGTTCTGGACTCCCCAGTACAAGGCATAGACATAATGGAATGAGCCCAGCGAAGAGTCATGAAGATGTTTAGGGGCCTGGAACATCTGATACACAAGGAGAAGAGCTGACACTATTTTGCTTGGAAAAAAAAAGCTCAGTGGGGATCCTGTCAATGTTAAAAACTCCTGGCAGGGGGGGAGGCAGGTTGTAAAGAAGACTGAGCCAGACTCTTCTCAGCAGTGTCCAGTGGCAGGACAAGAAGGAAAGGGTAAAAATTAAAATACAGCAAATTCCATTCAAATATAAGAAAAACCTTTCCAATGTGAGAGTGATTGAATTCTAGATGTTGCACAGACAGGCTCCATCCCGGCAGTTGTTCAAAATCCAGCTGGATGTGGTCCTGGGCAACCTGTTAAAGCTGATCTTGAACTACATGATCTGCAGAGGCCACTTCCTCTATGCTATGATTCTACTACTTCACATCAGCAATGAAAACAGTATTCCCAGTAATAATTTATGTTACTTAAATATTGATTAAAGCAGCAAAGTTGTGTCATCTGGAGGGGCCATGGTAAGATTTGTATTCAGCTGTCTGTGTCAATAGTTCTGAAGTTGTTGAAGATATCTTCCAGAGGAAGGAAGAATATTTTTATTAGAATTATTCTGGAATATGAAAGGCTTTAACCATTAGCGAAAGTAATGGTCAGTAAAAATATTTTTTATAGGTTGAGTGACTTAGAGCAAACATGTCACAGTTCCAGTGCAAAGCTGATTTCATGTAGCGTGGTGGGAAGTAGTGTCTGTTCACATGAGGATCTAATGACAAAATGGTTGTTTTACAGTGACAGAACTGTTTGGTATTGAAACATGGGAAGAGCAGTTTGACTGTTAAGTCTCACATTTCATTTGATGGCATTTAAATTGTATTCGAATTTGCTGCTGTAGAGGTTTTGATATTGTAGTTAACGGCATGTCTGACCTTCCTTTGCTAGATCTATCCGGGCTCAGTGGAGTTAATGCAGGTGATTGAAGATTTTATACACATTGTTGGAATGGGAATGATGGACTTTCAGAATTCATACCTAATGACTGGAAATGTAGGTAAGAAATAGGAATTTCTTCTACCAAATTTATGACCTATTGAAAATCAGAAATTGCAAGTATATACTATAGAGTTGCTGTTTCTATCACAAGCCAGACCAGACTGCTCCTCCCTATCCAGATTATCTCTGTTTCTTGCTTCTCTCCTGTCTCATTTAACGCTATCAGTATGCCTTACACTTTGGACTTCTCCATAATTGTATCTCAACATATGAATGCAAAGTTTCTGACCCTAAATAAAATTCAGAAAATACTCATCGGAATAGTATGAATTGTAGGTATATATTAGAGCACTTCCAGGATATGTAGTGTTTTAAACTGTAATTTAGAAAATCATGCTAATTAAGACAATAATAATCATGTACTTAATTAATTAAGAAACGCTAATTTTGTTGACATTATCTCTTTTAATATTGTATTCTTCCAAAGAACAGTCTTTGCACATGTTATGGTGTGATAGTAATCAGCATAGACAGAGAGGCAATAATTAAAATCTATTCGTTGCCAAATTAATTTAAGCCTATGGTTTCTTACATCAGTTTTTTCTATGTGTGACAGTTTAAAAATTTTATGCAGGTTTATTTTTCAAACTTTGTTTTCAGCACTGGAGAGTTGCCAGGCAATGTAATCAAATAATAACAAAAATAAAATATGAACTTATTAGTAGTCATAAATGCTTCTGCAATATCAAACCATTTTATTAAAAATTCACTCAGAAAAATAGTTTGAAAAGCTATTTTCTAAGCATTTTGTCTTTGCTTAGTATCTTCCTTATTCAATTAACTTTTTATAGCTTCACTTTTATAATACCAAGAAAGTATTAGGTAGTTGTATGTAATGAACAAATTCAAAATACGTGTTTGGCAGCGAAACTTCTGATGTCAATACATTCTTTCATATTCTCAGTTAGCATCCTCTTGAATCTATATGTCAGGCTGTTCTTCAGCAAGTCAATAGAATTAGTTAGAAAATATGCTAATTTAGAAATCAGTTGACAGAATAAAGCAGGGAAATTGTTGGAATGTCCCTAATGAAAATCTATCTTGCAATAATAGATATTTATTATTGTTGTCTGGTTCCTCTTTAGAACAGAGGTCCCTTCCAATCCCTAACATTCTGTGATTCTGTGATTCTGTGTGACTGTAAACACTAGCCCCTGTAAGGCACAGCCTTATATTAGAGACATGTCAAAGAACTCACCAAAAAGAACTCTGGCCGTCTTAAAATGTTTAAAACATTTCAGGAGGCAGTATGGGGAACTTCAGATTTTAACGAGTGATTTATTATTTCTGTGGTTTACTGTTTGCACTGTAGCACCACTTCAAGCTTCTTCCAGTTGTCAGTCCTTCATTACACTAGACCCTGCACAAATTTATAAAGAAAAGACAGTATTGTTCTTGAAATGTTTGTTCCATGGCATTTTTATGACAAAATAAAAAGATGAGCTTATTTAAGGAGCACAGCCCATGCTGCTTGGCATGTTGTACTGCATTCTGATCTGTTTGTCCTCTGAAAAATGTGAAAAAATACTAGAAAATGTTTTAAGAAGACATATTCAAATAATCTGTGTCTCTACATATTCATGGCTTCACATGGGAAACAGCAACAACTTTCCAATTGAATCAGAAACCATGCTGTGCACCGGCTAGTCTAGATAACTGCATAATCTTAACAGTCTTTCTTTTGATTATCTTTCTCTTCCCACATGTAAGATATTTTTAGGCACTCAGGAGTAGGTCTGTTCTTAACTATGCATTCATCAAAGGAATATAAAGAAAATGAGAAAAGTAAAATTAATTTATAGGTTTATTCTGACCACCGAGCTCTGTGGCTTGACATGTTGGTGTGAGTTTATTCTCTCTTTGCTCAGTCAACTGTCGAAAAAGGACGGGTCACTGCTGTGCAACTCATTGACCAGAACACTTGAGCTCAGGTGACATGGTGAGATGGGGGCAGAAGGTTGTTATCAGCAAGGAGTAATTTCTTATTTTCACAAAGAAGGAAGAAAGGTATCTGGAATCATTCAGTTTTAGTGTAGTTATCCTCAGGGTGTTGGCATAACCATGTCTGACTGGCCATGTACTTGGAACTTGGGGAACGTTTTTGCTGATCTCAACAGAGAGGAACAAATTATGCAGTTGTTGTCCTGTCTTAGTGTTAAATCTGCTGTACCAACAAGAGTTTAAAAGTGTTTCCAGTCTTGTTTATAACTTGTAATAATATTCTGGTCATTTAAGTCACCAAACACATTCCATGCAGGAAGCAGATATGTACAGAAAAGAGGCCCAACTTTTATATATTCATCTTTAAACAGGACTATCCAATAGTTATTTCTCAGTTATTTACCACAGAGTATTCCCTCTGTGCCTTCAGATATTTTAAATTACTTTTGCCATTTTTTCATTTTAGAATCACTTTACAGTTCAGATGTATGAGAAAAAGGATTCAGTACTAAAGACGAACTGCTGCTTTTTGTCAGACAAAAAAATGCAGTTCTGTAGCAAATTTCACAGTATTGCACTGAGTTCTTGGTTTCCTTCTACTAATTGAAGTTTACAAGTTCATTTCTAATTGAATGGCACTATGGTGGTCCACATACAATTGCAACATCTAATTGTCTTTGACAGACATGCTAATCATCTCCAGAGATGGTCCGCAGATGGAATTTTATTTTCTCTTTCTTTCAAGACACAGAAGCAAGTAACTGTGGCTTAACAAGTTACTACAGAACAGCCACACTGCAATGACTGTTCATTGCATATTCTCAGCTCACGGCTCGTGAACTGTGATGAAAGCTACCTTAACTATATGGTAGGTTATGCCAAGCCACATTATTATACATTTAGAAGTAGCTAAGAAGGTCCATAAGGACAGTTGCCATGCCACAGTTAAGCTTTTCAGTGTGGTGGCTTTTAACTCCAACTTTTCGTTGCTTCTGAACAAAACATCAGAGACCGGTTCCAAATCCAGATGATCCAATATCCGTGCTTTGGGGTTTATATAGGCAGCTCAGTCAAATCAAATGCATTATAGCAAGGCCCATCTCCTCTTAGCTATTCTCTCAGGGGTAGAAAATTTGCTATGAAAAACTTAAATATAAAAGCAACAATTTGCTTTGATCATGCATTACTGGGACAGAAGGTACTTGTTTTATCTGTGTGCTCTCAGTTCTACATTATATTACTTTAAGAAATGATTAGGTGAAGTAAAAGCCTCTGACTGGAGGTGGAAGCCTCCTTCCTCACCCTGTTCCTTTTCTTCTTATTCCTCCTCCTCCACCTCCTCCTCCTCAGCACCAGATAAGCAGGCACAGGAAAAGGATAGTATAAAAAAACAGGAGCTTTTGCTACCACTTAGAGTCGCTGAATTAGCTGAAAGCACAGAATCACCTGCAGGGATACAACATGCAGTGGGAGAAAAGCTTTTAAGCCATATTACCCTTCTGTGTTAACTACTTCCTTTAAGTTTTCTATGTTTTAAAAGGTGAGCTCCTGATTTTAGATCAAAGAATTAATCTTGGCTTTTAAGAGCCTTTTGAACTCTTTTGAGAGCTAAAGGCTTAAGCAGATTCACCTCAGGGCTTTGGCTGATTTGAGTTCCCATCACAGTAAACCATTAAGAGTTCTGAAGAAAGGTTTTAAAAGGTGGCTGAATGCCTATCAATAAATATTTATCCTTCAATTAAAAAAAAATTTCTACACTGGAAGACTGGAGTGCCACAAGTATATCTGTCTTTAAAGGTATAGTTGGAATGTGGAACTGGAAATAGGGAACAGTATTAGGAGATACATATATCTGTGGCAGATGAGGATTCTTTTATAAAGGAAAATTCTCCCTCTGTTGTCAAATACGTTTCCTTAAGAGCAGCGGCCAAAAAATGGTTAAAGGAGACTCTCTTGTCAAATATCAAGCTTGCAGCTCTTAAAAGATATTAATGAGAACACCAAACAATCTTGAAGTGCAGTGTGTTGCCATGGATGTTGTTTGGAACTGACAGAAAATAAGCAGAATTTTCATCATGAGAAAAAACACATTTTGTTAGTGTTTATTTTATCAATATTGGTGTTTGAGTGGTCAGTAATGTTCTAAAATGTGCAGATAGCACAAAGTTATTTAGAGTAGTCAAAGACAGGAAAAACTGAAGATCTCCAGAGTGTATAGCAAAATGAAAAGAAGGCAATATCCACTGGCAGATTAAATTCAGTCTTGACAGAGCGTGTGAGAGGGAGTAGTTAAAACCGTACATAATGTAGGAATCTGAAAAAATTCAGTAAAATCCCATGGTCACTTTTCAGCAGAGCTCAGAGAAAGGAACAACATTAGTGTGCAAAATGAGCATTCTAAAGAAAATACTGAATTTTTTTTAAGTTTCAGTAGCCATCACTTGCAACACTCTTTTCAATTGAGATTATATGACTGGGATTCATTTTACTTACTTCAAGCATCACAAAGTTTGCCAAAGTCACCCTAAACTTCTTTTATAGTCAAGTGAAACTACTGCTTACGAGAGCAATTCATACCATCTCAGACACCTACAGTAAGGGCATGGGTTGACTTCTGGAAGTTCTTCCACTAGCTATAAAGACAGCCTAGTGGCTAGCTTAGGCTTGAACATTTCATGCCATCTAAAGCAAAGAGGAGTACCACTTGGTGAGTAAATAAAACCTGTGAACACAGAGATGTTCAGAGCTGCATGATAAAATAACAGATTGAGAACTGGAATGATTAGAATAGATATCTGAGAACAGATTATTAAAAGGGACTAGATGTACACAACTGAAAAGTGAATGAAAAGAGAAACTAGGCTTACATCTCTGTTTAATCTTGCTCATAGGAAAAACAGAGATTCTTAACTGACATACGCATTAGGACATTTAATTTTGAATGAGCGTGAGACCAAGCTCTTAAGAGGAATAAAATAAAAATAAGTAGACATCTATGTGGTGAATGTAACTAGCTGTGATATTATATGAAAAAGTGAAGAGGTGTAAGCCATGCTT